CTTTTAATTCTTGGTGTTACTCAAAGTTAATTTAGTTTTTCTTTAATTAGTTTAGTTATTTACTTTATTCAAACCATTTAATTTCAATTGTTCAAATAAAATTAGAATTCATTAATTTTGGTACTTAATTAGTTTACAGTCTCTGTGGGACGATACTCTATTTTTATCATTATATTACTTGAACAGACTAGTACACTTGCTAGAGTGGAATTAGCTCATCAAGCATCAATGATTTCAAACTTAAATCGTGCAACTAATGACCGAATCTCATTTCTTTCTGGCGTCCATGTCCATGTTGTGGGAAACTTTTTCTTTTTGATCTCTGTCTCTAGTTTTAACAAAGGCATAACAATTATTAATTCATCATTGAAATTAAAATGTCATAGTCGATTCTTGATTCATAAGTTAAAATACTCAAACGTGAAGAAATATTCGAATTTTCAACCATTGAAAATTGTTTGAGGAATATTTTATGTAATTATTGGATTGATTTTTTAGTTGCAAGATAATCTTAAAATATGTGATGGGTCACCGAATATCTTCTTGTTAAGTCAAAAATCTCCTAACAAATGGTATCAAAGTCAATTGCTAGCATAATCAGTAATAATTTTAATCTTAAGCCAAACTTTAAAAAAAAAAGAGAGTATATATTACATAAATTCATAATAAGTATACTCATAGATGATGTTATGCTCATGATATATATACTCATGGACAGTGTATATATGTCAAAAAATGAATTTATGTCAAAAAAAGAAACGAAAAATTTTCTTACCAAATCCTTCACAGCGCATAAGTTAAAGGAAGAGTATTAAATATGTAAGGAAGAGGATTAGATATGTATTCCCTTATGAGCGTGAAAAAACAAGAGTTTTATATCAAAAAATAAATAATAATAATAATTGACATAAATATGTCAAAACTTATATAATTACTAGATTAATCTTTTCTTTTCAAGACAGCATTAAAACATATGATGTGTCATGGAATGTCTCCCCAGCACTCATATGTCCATAAACCATTTATTTATAACTATATTAATTTGGAAGTTAGGTGGGTGGGTGTCTAACAAACAGTATAGCCTTTCACAGCTTGTAGTGGAGGGTTACATAAGGAGGATTATATTTCTTGCTTATGTTAGTAGTCACTTAAAATTTGGTGTAGTTCCGTAGTTGTCTGCAACTGCAAGTTATTATGTAGCAAATTCTAGAACAAGGTCATTTCCCCCAGTGCCATAGGTATCGATTCCTTTTTCGACCATGCCTATGCTGTGGGAAATCATTTTTTTTTATTTCTCTTGTTTTATTGAGGGCATGACAGTTCACAGTGTATCATTGAAATGGGAACATCATTTTCTGTTCATGATTCATGAGATAAAAAGTACTCAACATGAAAAGTAACATATTAAGAAAATACATAGCATTAAGCAAAATGCAAATACAAGCGCGCGATAACTTTCCTTTTGATGATCAAAGTTCTTATACAAGAAAACATCCATAATGCTGACCCGAAAAGGAAATTAACATGCATTAATCTTAACAAGCAGAAACATTTAAACTAGTCCCTTAAGATTGGAGATTAAGATTGAAAAACTTAGGCAAACACACAACAAGGAAGAGCAGAGTAGCAATAATAATAGGTGCAAATGGTTGAAGCCGAGGGGAATTTGGAATTGGAAATGGAGCTAGGTACGTCATTGATAGCAAGTAGCAGAGAATGAATAACAAGATTGGTAAGGCAAGCAGGTTTATTGTGTTATCAGGAAGTAGGAGAAACACTATGGTTGTTGTAGTCAAGAAAGTTGCAGTGTTTATAAAATAGAAGTATATAAAATTAGGTGTGGACATGATTGAGAGCCCGAGCATGCTTTCAGGGGCATTAGTGACAGCCTTGCTAGGAGGAGGATTGGATGGGGGAGGGTCGGATTGGGGAGGGTCGAATGGAGGAGGGTCGGATGGGGAAGGGATGTTTCGGAATACGGCACTCATATTTCGGAGTGTGGGAGTGATAGGTGGGGGTGGGGGAGTGATAGCCTTGCTGAGAGGAGGGTCGGATGGGAATACGCCACTCGTAGGTGGGGGTGGGGGAGTGTCAAGTACTCTTGAGGGAGTGGATGGTGCACTTAAGGGACTGATATCTAAGCGACTGGGCACTGGGTCACCTAAGTTACCCTGCCAAACACCTCCAGGTGGAGTAAGACATGTTTGGTAGGTAGTTGTTAGGATCAGTACAGCTACTACCAGCATAGCATTCCTCATGTCACTAGATATCATGTTATTCTGGCGCACCATTGTTCTTTGTAATTTCTGTGAACAAGACATTCTTGTTCTCAATGACTCTGCTAATGTATGACATGTAGGAATTCTTTCAGCTTCTAAACATCCAGCTTGACGAAGAATGTTTGCGGTTTCGCTGCTGTTAACTTGGCCGGATAACATATCCAAAGCTGATTGGCAATTCAAATTGACTTTGTTCTTGGAGATCATCTTACATTCTAATAATAATCTTACCATCTGCTTAGCATATATAGAAAAAGAAACAGATTTTAATCAATGAAATGTTGCCACTAATCAAATCATTTTGTTTTTTTTTTTCCTTTGATACTCTAAGCTTTGCAAAGTTAATGAAACTAGACTAATAAACAAAAATGGAAAATTAGAATGGATGAGGATATCTATACCTGGGGATGATTAATGGATGCAGCTATATGTAGAACTGTGTTTCCTCCTCGATCTATCCCGTTCAGGACTTGTTTATTCCAAATTTCAGCATCTTTGTGAGTGATCTTTTCAAGCCAACAAACCAGAAGTTCCAAAGTTTCAAAGTTATCGTTGCTTATTGCAATGTGTATGGCATTTTGGCCATGAATGGTCACATCTGTGATGCATTCGGGGCAAGCCTCAAGAAATTCAGCTATAAGATCCAAGTCCCCCTTCTCCACTGCATGATGCAGAGGAGTCAAACTGCCCCTCCCTTTGACACGGACAAGATCTTTATCAACTTTGAGGAGCTCACGTAGTACATGAATTTGGCAATTTAACAGGGCAAGATGCATGGGGCTTAGCCCAGCTGGGTTTAGCTTCCTTGCATATGATGGCTTTAAGTTCATCATTTCCATAGCAAAATCAATGTGCCCTTTAGAGGCTGCTATATGCAGTGGAGTGTCAACGAAAGGAAATCTATCAATGCTCTCTAAAACAAATGAATTTTCCTGAATTAGTGCATACAGGGCTTCTATGTCTCCCGCTTCAGCAACATCCCTCATTCTCTCATCCATTGAGATTCCCAAGACCAAACACAGATACTATTGGATACAATTGTTCCTAACAAACAACAAAAAATCAATTCAATTACTAAGAAAGTCTTTAATATACATGATCTTTTCTTATTCCTTTGCCCCAAAACAGTACCCAAAAATCTCTAATCAATGCAGATGTTCAAGAAGAAATGTCATTTTCTAAAGAAATGATAATAGCAATCACACAATGCATCGATCATGAGAATAGTCATGATTAAGTACCTTTTCAAACGTTTACACATTCAACGAGAAACTACTCCTTAGACGTCGAATTGCTTACGAGCATCGTAACGTAGAGACAACATAGAGGGTTAAATGTAAATTTTAATTTTTTAATTTTAAATTTTTATTTATTTTTAATTTTATAATTATTTTTACATATTTTTTAGTCTTTTAATTTTAATAATTACATAATTTTAATCCCAATCA